ATTGTAGGAAACAAAAACCAGGAAGGTATTCAGGGTTGCTCTGCATTTGCTGCCCATGGAAACTGTGACTCTACCCAGTGGACAACAGCTTGTAGTGCCGAAGATTGTTAATGACTTGTGCAGTTTCATTATTACAAAAATTGACACTGAGGGACTTTTCCGGAAAGGTGGCTCAAAATCTAGACAAAATGAAATTAGAGTAAGAACTATCCTATAATATAATTTTAGGTTTATCAATATTCATATTCCTTTTTAGTTATCATTAGATGCTGGATGCTATTTAGGAGAAGAACATCATGAAGTTGATGTTGCTAGTGTACTTAAAACTTTTTTTCGTGAATTGCCAGAGCCCTTGATTCCATTTTCTTTCCATGAATTGTTTTTGAGATGCATGCTTCTATCTGAACATCAAATTGAAGCAGTTCTATTATCCTGTTTGTTAATACCAATGGAACACCTTAACACTTTAGCCTATTTTATGCAGTTCTTATTCAGAGTGTCTGAATATAGTCCATTTAATAAAATGGATGCTTACAATTTGGCAGTGGTAATGGGGCCCAGTTTATTACCAGCTGAAGAGAAGTTGCCTCATAATCCAACACAAAGACTGACAAAGACCTGTGAACTTTTTAAAGTAAAGATAATATTAAGCATATTATTAGAATAATGTTTTAATTAGAATTGATTTGCAGTTACTTATAGAAAACGCTGCTAATATTGGAGTCCTTACAGAGAGTATAATAGAGAGGATAGCTATAACGAGTTCGATGAGTTCACTCAACGTCGATGACGAAGCTAATGTTAAAAAGAAAAAGAAGCGACGAAGTGGTTCATTGACGCGAATGTTGAATGGTTTAAAGAAAATTGTCAGCAGTAAAACCGAGGAAGTCGTTCAAGAATTTCCACCGGATTTGTTGCTAACTCCGTGCATCACTAGATCCGCGAAGAAACGTAAAATCGAATCAGCCGGAATTTCAAATAAGAAACGGTAAGACAAGTAAAATTCAAAACTAAAATAATTTGTCAGGTTTGGCTTTTTCAGACGACAAATCATTAATAGTTTACCTCAGCAAGCTATATTAAATACTCCATATACTCCAGTTAGTAAAAATCCTGAGTAAGTATATCAATACTCGTAATAAAATAATTTTAAAGTTATGAATCTGAAATCGGAAAATTGAACGCTGAGTGCTTGTATTAATAATAGTATTATTATTGCTTGTTAGAAATACTACTGTGTATATACTTTTTTGATTTGATATATTTTATAACGTCTTTCTAATATTAGTTTTGCGTCATAAATAATTAATGATCATGGCTTTATTGTTTTCAGTGCAATAAAAAAACCTACCCCAGAAACATGTGAGAAGACAAAGGAAAAGAAGGTACTTTGGTCGAAGAGCAAAGCGAAAGTGGAAGAAGGTTCATCTAAAACGGCGATACAAAGGCGTTGGTCTGCAGTTAGTTCTGTGGCTGCTTTCAGAAGAAAGAAGACACGGAATTCGTGTGCCGCTTCTTTGACTCACCAAAAACCTAAGATCTTAGAGAAAGATCCTCAGATAGATAATAGGATAAACGATTTATCTGAAGAACTTACAAAGCATAAAGAACCTGAAACTGAAAACTATGTGCGCATTTCCAAAGTCGAATACGAGGAGATCAAAAACCGTGTTTCAGCTATAGAACGACGTATCTCCATAGAGCTGGAGAACGCAGAGCCGGAAGCATCTGCAACCTGTGATGATGGAGTAAAGGATGTAGAGATGGCATACGAGCAAACCCTTGTACAAACTGAGCCGCTTAGCCCTACGACAGATCAGCTCGCTAAGAGGTTGAGCAGAGAACTGAAGATTCGGCGATCGAACGAACCTAAAGTATTCAGGTCTCCGAGTGCCAGAAAAATCGGAAGCTTGAGACGCAGATCCCGGGAACGCGACCAGGTAAGATTAAATAGAAATCAGTCTTGGTGCGTGACGAGTTCCGCGTCTAAGTCTGCCCTCCGCAGGGGAAGACCTAATACCGTTCAAACGGGTTTGCCGCAGCCTACGACGGCTGAAGAACCTCCGAAGACACGTTCGAATTCGTTTCATGGTAACAATTCGCCGTCCGTAGTGGCGAATTCGATGACATCGAACTCCTCTACGGTGAGTTGGAAAAGTGCGCAAGGATTTTTCAATGCTACGCCTATGTCTAACCCTGGAGTCACTGAAAACTGTAGGGCGTCGCTGGCGAAGTTGCGCAGTCAAAACGCTGGGATGGTGCTGGCCAAGGCGAAATTGTTTGATAACCTAGTGGATTCAGAGTGTAGTAGCAACAAATCTGGAGAATCCAATTGCGTATCATCTCAAACACGTAGCACCAAAATCGGGGCTCCACGAGTTCTTGACAAGAACAGCAGGATTCAGTCGTTAAAAATGGAGGAGCGCAGAAAGAAGGCTATTTCACCTAGAAAGAGAAATTGCAACAAAAGTCCACAAATTCGAATGCAACGTATCAGCGTGAAGGCGCCACCACCTCAAGAATGTAAGTAAACTTAATTAGCGAATGAACATTATAAGATTTGTTCTTCACATTTCAGTTAAGTTTAATAATTTTAATAGAATATCTTTAAAGTACCTTGTAATGTGTAAATAAGTTGCTTCTCAGTAAATAGTCTATTTTATTACGACTTTGAACCGTGTTTTATACCACTACTATTTTATATAACTACATTCTCTAATTGCATCTATTATAATTGCATTTGTAGATAATATGGATAGGACAATATTGAGAGACTGCAATCGCCGTGGGTCAGAACCAACGACATCCCCAAAATGTGTAACACCCAGAAATGCACCCCAAATCAAGAGGACTTTAAACCCGAAGTCGCCACGCCGAATTTGCAGGACACCGGTTTCCGAAGCTAAACAAACACCGCTCAAAGTAATCGCAACGACGAGGAACACGCATCACTACTAAATTCCTTCTAGCATTCTTATTTTGCTATGCAAGTAGATAGCCCAAAATTCTGCTTTACCAGAGCATGCGAGCATAATTTCGAAAATTTTATTTGATTTTTATAGCAAGGACTTGAATTGATTAAAATTTAACGTTGACTCTATATCGAAATTATGTTCGCATTGTCTCCGAGTATGAAGTAAGGACATAAAGAAAAAAAGAAAGAATTAAGTGGCCATAGTTTATATTTCTTTATATATCGATAGATGTTTTTTTTTATATTTTCGTATATCCGAGAGTGCTGTGCAAACTATGTACATACGCATTGTTAAAGAAAGTTAGAGAGAGAGAGAGAGAGAAAACGAAGTAATCGAATGTTTTATAATTATTATTTTATTTAATAAGTTTTATTGTTTTATCAATTGAATAATTGAAAACAATTACTGTGACTTTTTCCTAGAATATTGTTTTTATACTGTGCTTTTATTTTTTCATATTTTATAATGTAATTATTTGCTTTTGAGTCTTAATAAAAAATGAAGATGTTTATAACAAGGTATATACAATAAATTTATTTTGTAAATTAATCTTTTTTAGGTGCAAAACAAAATAAATAACACGTACCGTATTTGTTAATATCACAAATATGAGTGTATTATCAATATTGATAGGAATATGTAATTGCGTTTGCGATTTGAATTGCACCAATCACGACGTTCCACGCATGTAACTACCATGATTGCTCTCTAGATGTCACTGTTGTTATGACGTTTCTTAGTTGATTTTTTGACATTTAGTGTCATTTAGTGTAAGATAACATATGAGGAATACAAGCGAACGAATGTTGAGTTTGTTAATACTCTTTGTGGCATGTTAAACTGATTGAACTTCAAGTGCTGATAAACAAAAACCAGGCGCCAAGATGCGATCCGTCGGATTTTCGTTACTTGCCCTATGCATGACCGTTTCGGTCGTTGCTAATGCTTACTACCAGAAAAAACAGTTCTATCCTTCTGTAGTATATATTACTAAGTCTAATCCTAGCATGGCTGTAAGTAGTTTATCCCAATAAAAAAACAGTGTATATTATTAATTTTCTTTAATATTGTAGGTCATTTATCTGCAAGCTTTCATATGTGTACTTTTGGCTGGCCGTGTCATGAGAAAAGTATTCTTTGGACAATTGAGGACTACAGAGTTTGAGGTAGTTTGCATAAAGTATGAATCAGAGATGCTTAGAAAGATGGCTTTTTTTTTCAGCATTTGATGGAGAGGTCCTGGTATGCCATCACAGAAACCTGTCTGGCTTTCACTGTTTTTCGAGATGATTTTAATCCCAAGTTTGTATCTCTTTTTACACTGCTGTTGTTCCTGAAATCTTTCCATTGGTTGGCGGAAGACAGAGTTGACTATGTGAGGATTTTTATTCATCCCCTGTTGGGAATACATAAATGATACTAAATGATAATTATTATTATTTCAGATGGAAAGAAGTCCAGTTATAAGTTATATATTCCATTTACGCGTTATGGCACTGCTTTTACTTCTTGGTTCACTTGATATATATTTTGTGGAGCATGCCTACCAACTGACAGTATCCAAAGGGGCTTCTGTCCAGTTAGTCTTCGGATTTGAATATGCCATATTGTTTACCATGGTTATTAACATCATAATCAAGTACACTCTGTATACAGTCGATTTACATAGTGAAACACCATGGGACAATAAGGCAGTATTTCTGCTCTACACTGAGTTAGTAATGGGTTTGATCAAGGTTATTCTCTACATCGCTTTCATGTTCATAATGGTCCGTATCTATACGTTGCCATTATTTGCTTTAAGACCGATGTATTATACAATAAGGAATTTCAAAAAGGCTTTCAATGATGTAATTTTGTCCAGAAGGGCTATCCACAATATGAACACTCTTTATCCAGATGCTACATTAGAGGAATTGCAAGCTGGAGATAACGTTTGCATTATTTGCCGTGAAGAAATGACGGTGGCTTCAAAGAAACTGCCCTGCAATCACATTTTTCACGCTTCTTGTTTGAGGTCTTGGTTCCAGAGGCAACAGACCTGCCCAACCTGCAGATTGAATATTCTGAGAACACCCACTGCAGAGCAGAGGCCAGATCCGCAGAGAGCTCCAAGACCAGCAG